GCCAAGCCCGTTAATTTCCACACCCCCTTATTTTGGTATTACTAAACTCCAAAGTAATTTACACCCCCTCTGCCTGAATAATACTTGGGCCAGCCTAGGCCTAACTTCCAGCACCCCCTTTTTACTGGTTAGTTGAAAACGACACCCCCTTTGATTTAATTATATAATTATTTTATTTATTTATTTCCCTTATGTTATATGTTATATATTGTTAAATTATCATAATTATTTTTTTCCTTTTATAATAATTATTAATATTATTTATGATATTATTATTTGTTATATGTAAGCATTATTATTTTTATATTAACAAACAAATTATTTTTATATTAAAATTACATATATTATTTTATATATTATTTACATTAAATCTAAATATATATCTTTAAATTAATTAATTAATATTTCTTTTTGGTTAACTGTTCTATTTTCTTTATTCCTTTATCATTATTATTTGTTTTCTATAATTATTATATCTTTAATTTTTTATACTTTATTTTTTAAAAATTCTTATATTTTACATGTTATCATATTATCTATTATCATATGTAAATATTATTACTATATAATAATAATTATTATCATTTAAAATTATTTTACTCAAAGTTCTTGTACATATTTTCTATATTATTGCATTGAAATATTTTTATCATGCATTAATCAAGACTTTTTGCAATTAATATTATTAAAAATTATCCAACAAATATCAAAGCTATTTTCGCAATAAACTAAACTAATCAACTGTTTTTTTTGCAAATGGGTTTCAAACTAATTTTGGCTTACTACGCACTCAGTCAAAATCTCCGCAATCACTACTCCCGACCGAGTGCGAAGTGATTCAAAATATGTTTGCAAACCCTTAAAAAAACACCAATCCATACGAATTACGAATTGGGACTATGATTCCTCATAAGAGGATACGTAGGCATACGATCAAAAATCTAAAACCTAAAACCCAGTTTACCCCAAACCTAAACCTAGAGGTTAATATCCTTGTGAAAAAGGTAGATGAAAGGTGCCTAACACATTCCTTTCGTCCAATTGAGTCTAAAACCTTGAATCTCCGTCTGCGAATTAGGATTTTCTGTTAGGTTCCCTTCCCTAGGATAAAAACTAATAGTGGCGACTCTGATTTAAAAACCAGTTGCTACACCTATATTTTCTACAAATAAATAGAATACCAAGCAACCCAATTGATCATTCTATGATTCTCTTGGCCATTCCACAAGAACACACGTTGTATCTTGATTATATCTTGAATATCAATCTTCGGTGCCTTGTAAAAGGAGAAAGTGAAAAGATGAATAGTGTTCAAAACCCAATTTAACAAAGTCACTCTCGTGCCAAGAGACAAATATTTCCCTTTCCAAGAGACCAATCTATTCCTCAATTTTGCGATAACCAAAGACCAAGCAGATTGTCGTCTAGGATTACATCATATATGAATACCAAGGAATTGAAAGGGAAATGGACTAACAACACACACAAGATAATCAGATGCATCTTTCAAAAACTCTGAATCCACATTAAAAACCAAGAACTCTAATCTTGAAAATCTTTACGAATAAACTTGAGCAAAGTTCAAAACCACGGAGAAACACTTTTATAGTCCCAATATTCTGCCAAGAGGGCTGACCCATAATCATTGTATCATCCTCGAATTGGAGATGATCAATATGAAGAGTTTCATTCAGAGCAAAATGGTGATAACAATGACTTGTGCACTCATTTCTCAATAAACCTGCCTTCCCCTCAACTGCTAGAATAAAGAGGAAAAGGGAAAAGGGATCTCCTTGACGAAGACCCCTTGTAGCCATAAAATCTTCTATAAGACTACTGTTGATTAAGACCGAAATAGAAGAAGAACAAACACAAGCATTGATCCATCTTAACCATTTGTTTCCAAATTTCATCTTTTTCAGAATGTAAAGTAAATAATCCCAAGAAACAGAATCGGAAGTCTTTTCAAAATCGACTTTAAAAAGAAACAAGTCTTTCCTATTCCTCTTTACAAAGTCAATGACTTCATTAAACACTATAACACTGTAGACAATATATTTATAATATGTAAAATAGTTAGTAACCAACAAAGTGAACAATATATCGATAATATGTTATATAATTATTTTTAAACCTTGATTTTATGATAAATTAATATTATTAGTTTTGTTTTTGTAATTATATATATATATATATATATATATATATATATATATATATATATATATAATATATACTATATATATAATATATATATATATATATATATATATATATATATATATATATATATATATATATATATATATATATATATATATATATATATATATATATATATATATATATATATATATATATATATATATATATATATATATATATATATTATATATATATATATATATATATATATATATATATATATATATATAACAAAACATGAATTATAAACAATTTTTATTTTGAAAATAAGCTGGCAAAAGAAATTTGTGACCCAACCCCTAAAAAACTTTGGGTAGTATGAAATATTTAAACATAATAATCTCAAATAATGTTTTCACTAAATTCGAAAATATTATTAAACATTAAGCTCTAAATTATCAAAGATTTAGAATATATATTTTTAAACTCATATGTGTTATTTGTAGTGAATTTGATAGCTTAGTTGACAATTGCTAATTTGAGTAAGGCACTGTTGCTTCAGAATTTAATTTTTTGAAAATGATTTTTATTTGTATTTTCTTTTAAAATATAAATATGTTGTTGATATTTATAAATCAAGAACTTAAAAAAAAACTCATGTGTTATTTAATGATTTAAATATTATATTTTTTATAGAAAAAAATCCTTTATATTTATTATACCTAAAAAAAGGTAATCATTTTTATAAGTAAAAAATGTAAAAAAAAATATAATTCATTATTAAAATATATGTCTGGTTTCAATTTTGAGAAAAATAAAAATGATTCTAAAATTATATAATTGATTTTAATATTGTCTTTAGAATAAATTCTATTTAAAATTAAAATTTATAATATCAATATGACTTTTACACTTAAATTTATTATTAACTTCATTTTTACATAAATATATTAAAATATAAATTGTTTCATTTTCAAACCACTTTTAAGTAAAATTAATTTTCCAAAATCAATTTGTGTCACTTCGAAATCAAACATAGGGGAAAAAAATCAACTAACAAGCTTAATTAGCTTATATGTAGACCCACAAGTCATCACATGAGTTAATGATATTGGAGTTATTACACAAATATTTTAAGTGCCCGAAATGGAAGCAATGATGCTTTTACTCATTCAAGGTAAGTAAGTAGTCTTTTTAATTATATCGTCTTGTTACCTATAAATGGTTCAAGAAATTTTACTGTTAAACTTTGCTTAAATAAAATCTAATAAATCTTTGTTATTTGTTAAAATATAGTTTTTAATTATTTTATCATGGTTAAATTATAATTGACTATCCTATCACCTCAAAATAATTTAAATGTAAGAAAGAGCATTCATCTTAGTTATCAACTCTTGTATCTTACTTTTTAAAATTACATTATAATGTTCTTTTTAGTACAAATATTATAATGTATTTATTATGCATGTAAAATAATTTATTTATTTTTAATATAATTATTTGTTTTTATTATACTTTTAATTATTAATGATTTTATTTTAATAATAAATACTTGATTTAATTTTTATTTTTATTTTTATTTTTATCATCAATTTAATCAGGTCCAAATGTCAATTTTAGCATTAATTGTCATCAGATCCATTTCAATTATAATTATGGAAGATCGAACCACAATTTTCATTATTAAATTAAATGTCAATGATTACTAAATGAACTAATAACTCAAAATCAAATATTGTTGAATTTTTTCTTACTTTTTTTATTGGACCCCCTTCTTATATTTTATGCACTGAAAAATTAAAAATTAATAAAATATTTATTTTCAGTGATACATAATTCATATTTTAGTATTTTAAAATTTTCACAAAGTGTCCTTTATAATTATTTCTTACGTTAGACAAACGACACGTTATTAAAAAATTAATCTTTAATACAAAAATATGAAAAATAACCAAAACTATTTGATTTAAAATAAAAAATTAATTTAATAAATCACTTAAAATAGGAACATTATAAAGTTAACTTAATAACCCTGTCACATATTTTAAGAGCTTCATAATATTTTTAATGTGTCTAAAAATTTAAAATAATATTTAATTTAAGACAAATTTTAGAATGAATATGGTCACAATTATAAATAAAAAAATTATAAAAAAAAGAAGAAGTTAATTACATCATTAAATATTTTTTATTTTTTAAAGAAAATTGTGTGTGGGCGCCACAAGTTTCATTTGTACAAATCTGAAGAAATATTGTATTATTTTGAGACAATTTTTTATGGGTATAAAGACAATTATTTTAAATGTTTTGTTATGTGTCATTATATGCTACTCTTCTGGATAACTTCAATTTTTTACTTTTTTTTCTTTTTCTAAAGAAAGGCTATATATATATACACTACATATTAACTCCTCTCAGAAGATTTACCTGTAGTTAGTTTCACTGTCATCATATAGACATTGAAGATCTCTGAGCTTTATTGGAATAACACAGAGGGGGTAATATTGGTATAAATAAAAGTATTATGAAGAAGTGGCAGAAAGGTTCTTCCTGTGGTCCGCAACAACTACTGATTACTACTGTTCATTAGTCACAAGCACTACAATCACACCTCTTTCTCTTCCCTTCACATTTTCTCTTTATTAACAATGCACCAACAACACAAGTTTTACCTCATGGAATTCCAAGGTACTCGTAACAAAATTCTTTTTTTTCTTCTTTTTCTTATGTGCATGCTGAATGAGTTTAGAAAATATGTGCATGCAGTTAGTTAGTGAATGAAGCTTGTGATGTGATTTCATGGTTTTGCAGAAGGAATTGGATTTTGTTGATTGAGAAAGGATGCTAAGCCAGCTATGGTTTGTACTGCTAATGATTTACAAGAATGGAAGGATTTTCCTAAAGGACTCAAGGTTCTTCTCCTTCAGGAAGACAGTACGTTTGCTGCTGAGATAAGAACAAAGCTTGAGGCCATGGACTATATTGGTAAGACACTTTTTGGATTCTTACTACTTTGGATGCTAAAGTATCATTGCTTTGGAATAATAGAATGTCATTGCTTTAGAATCTTTGTGCAGCCTTGTCCTTTCTGTTAATTTCTTTTATTCATCCTCAAAATTTCTATACAGTTTCGTCATTCTGCGACGTGAATGAAGCCTTGTCAGCAATCTCAAATAGACCTGAAGGCTTCCATATAGCCATAGTGGAGGTAATGAAGTTTAATTTTCTATATAAATCACAAATAATTATCTAAATTTGTGTGCTTGTTGAGAATAAAATGAACATCTCTAGGGAGAAATGACGATCTTGTCTTGTTAATTGCCCCAAACTCCGTATCTTAATATGGTAAGGTAATACAGCTTTGGTGATGTTATTCGTAACCACTTGCATCCATCTTAATTGTAGGTGAGTTCGCACAGTTGCGAGGGAGGTTTCAAATTTCTGGAGAATAAAAAGGACTTGCCAACCATTAGTAAGTACAGAAATCAAGCCAAACTTTTCAAGAGCCATTCATGGAAAAAGATTTTTGTGTTTGTTGCAAGTTTTATAATTTTTCAGTTTTTGATGCAGTGACTTCAAACAACGATTGTCTGAACACCGTGATGAAGTGCATAGCAGTAAGATTTTGGTTGTATTCTTTGAATTATAATGGGAATCTGGAATTCAAAAACTGAAGTTGATAGAGAAATAGATCAAGCAATGGAAATAGATCGTTAAAAGAAAAACAGTAGTGTATTTTCAACCATCTTTAATTGTTGATGCACAACTCTTGACTCCTTGCTTTGTTTTGCTGTCTTTTTTAAGCTTGGGGCAGTGGAGTTCCTCAGCAAACCGCTCTCAGAGGACAAGCTCAGAAATATCTGGCAGCATGTGGTTCACAAGGTCTGTTAATTAACATTGTTGACATTCCGCGTGTGCTTACGCTTATCATACGCTGAGCAATATAATTCTTATGTGGTTTAAATCAAGCAGGCATTCAATGCTGGGGCAAATGTCCTGTCGGAATCCCTGAAACCTGTCAAGGAATCTGTAGTCTCCATCTTGCAGCTTCAAACAGACAACGGACAACACGACAGTAGAGCTTTGGTTGAGTTAGAAAACGTATCTCGGTTTTCTGACAACGAGCATTATCCAGCTCCTTCAACCCCACAATTGAAACAGGTGGAAAGATTACTAGACGACGGGGATTGCCAGGAGCAGACTAATTGCTCCACAGAAAAACAAAGTGGGGAGCATGATGGAGAATCTAAATCTGTAGAAACTATTTGTGAAAATTTTAATGCTAAGAGTATTCGCCAAGAGCAGACTAATTGCTCCACTGAAAAAGGAGAGCATGATGAAGAACTAAAATCCGTCGAAACTACTTGGGAAAATTTGAATGCTGAGACTACTCGCCAAGAGCAGACTAATTGGTCGACTCAAAAAGAAAGTGGAGAGCATGATGGAGAATCTAAATCTGTCGAAACTACTTGTGAAAATTTGAATGCTGAAAACACTCCTCAACAAAGGAAATCTGAAATCACTTTGGTTCAAAAGGAAGAGGAGGATTTTATGGACACTTCTAAGTGTGAGAGTGTGGTATCTCCACATCCGCAAAATGTGAAGGTTGTCACCAATAGTGAAAGTAATACTACATCTACAAAAAAAATGGCCATCCGTAATCATAAATGTGAATTAAAAGCTAATAGGAAGAAGATGAAAGTAAGCTGCTTTACGATCATTCATTCTTCTCATACCCTCATTCCACAATGTTTGCTTACAAGTGATCTGCTGAACCCAATTATCTTAATCACAGTTTTGGTACTTTGTCTCAGGTAGACTGGACACCAGAGCTGCACAAAAAATTTGTGAAGGCAGTGGAACAACTAGGCATTGATCACGCTATTCCTTCTCGTATATTGGATTTAATGAAAGTGGAGAGCTTAACGAGACATAATGTGGCAAGCCATCTTCAGGTTTTTTTCTACCTTGCGCCGCTATTTCCAAACTATCTCAATACCTCATTAGGAACTGCCAATATTGAAAACAATATTCATATATCTCAGGTAATTCATACTAACATAATGTCTTTTATTGTTTAACTTTAAACAGAAATATAGAATGCATAAGCGACATATCTTGCCAAAGCAAGAAGACCGCAAATGGTTATATCAACGAGATCCAATGCAAAGGGGTTATTGTTTTCAAAGGCCAATTATGCCTTGTCCTCCGTCGTATTATTCTAACCGTACCCTTCCTCTAGCTCCTTTATATCCTATGTGGGGACAATCTGGAAGTCAAATGGCCGGCATGCCTATTTGGGGCACTTCCAGTTATCCCTTTTGGCAGCGTACAGAAAGTTGGCACTGGCAACCATTTCCAGGGGTAATATATTTCTTCTGAACTCATGAAGGATGCAAAGTTTTATGTTCCAATTAGTAATAGGAACCTTTCTCTGTGGCTTGTTATGTAAAAATTGTTATGGTTATGCTTTTATGATTGCAGTTTGACATATTATCAATTGATGTTGCAGATGCATTCAGATACATGGGGCCGCCCTGTGTTACCACCACCTCAAGCTCAATGCTTTTCCTACACTCAAGTGAGTATCATCAAATTGAAGATTTCAACTTTATCTTTTTTGTATTCATGGTTATTACGTAATTACGCTTGCGTTGCATGCACAATTAGTTTTGTCTAGTTATTTAAATTATTTATGTGTGATGCTTAATCATATCTTTTAATCAAACAGAAAAATATACCTTTGAGGAATGATAATGCTATGGATTACACGTTTGGCACGCCCTACAGTTCCTTAGACGATTATCCGGTAATGCAATACTTTCCTTTCCGCCTCTTTTTACTTGAGTACTTTTAACTCGACTTATAGAATTGCAACTAATAACCGGGCACATTTACAATGTATCTTATCATAAAATATAATGTGTTTACAATGCATGCATGCAGGAAGAGGAGATTATTGACAAGGTTGTGACGGAGACAATGAGTAAACCATGGCTACCTTTGCCGATAGGCCTCAAACCGCCTTCCATGGATAGTGTGTTGACTGAGCTTTCAAGGCAAGGCATTTCCAGCATCCCTCCAAGAAATAATAGTTGTATTCCCATTTGATATTTACCGCCAAAACTGGTTCTGATAGTGACAAAGTTCTATACAAAGGGTCCACCAGAACAAGACACTGTTGTGATTTTTATTAGTTTCTCAAATTTATCAGGTTCCAGTTAGTACATTGACTGGGAATAATAGATTAGGGACCATTTTGTTTTTCTATATTAGGTCCCCACTACCAACCACTTCATACAAAAAACCATGATGATGCTACAACCGAGAAGTAACTACGTAGTATTGACACTTCATATTAAAGGTGTGTCTGGGATATAACGCCAATACATATGCTAGCGTCAGGGTTGTGTCTGGTGTCAAAACAAAGGAAATGTCAAGTGGGGCACACCGATTAGGCGTCTTGGCCGGCTGAGAAATGGCCACAGATTTGTTGATGCTCTCTGAAAAAATTGTGGTTGTAAATAGATGCTGATATGGTTGTAAATGTGGTGCTTTTGGGAAGCATACAACAGTGATTGTTGAGGTTGTATTTTTGGGTGGGGAATCTAATAATGGTAAGGATAGGAACAATGTTGTGAATAAAAAAATGTGTTCAAAGCTTAACTTTTTCTTCTTTTTTAAGTTGGATTTATTTTCAGCTGATTCCTAAATTCAGAATTAAGTTATTTCAACTTTGTTCATGTGTTAATTTGTCTTTTAGACATTTCCGGAGAAGGGTAGTTGGTGTTCTCCTATTAACCATGCGAGGTTGGTTGTTGTTATCCGTTCTCTTGTTTGAATAATTCTTACATCCAGAATGTTGGTTAGGATATATTCTTAACTGTTACAAAACCAAACAATCCTAAAGGTGTTTTCTCAAATTTCTACAAACATGGTATCTATTACAGTATCATCTATTATCATTTATAAAGAGTTTATCTTAATTCTAAAAATTCAAGTGAGTACCAATCAAGATAATAATCAAATTAATGATAATAATTCGAATGAAGATGGACAAGAAATTGAAATGTCTAGGTGAAATCAAATTTCTGATGTTAGTACATCTTTGAGTACTGTTATTATTGAAATACAATACTAATTGGTCTCCTTATGGGTTGCCCCTGAGTTTTGTTCCTCACTTATAATGCGCCACTAGTGACTACACGTTTTCCATGCTCGTATGCGAGTCAAGATATTGAAATACAAATGATATATAGGAACAAGCAATATTACATTTCTAAATAATTCTATAGAAAATTTTATATTACCCTCAACTACTAGCACCACATTTCTTAGACAACAAATCAATGATAGTAATTATAAGATGATGAGCACGATAATCTACTAAATTACTAATGTGTTTGATGTAATAGACCCTAACATAGTATACTTTAATCTCGTTATCAAGTCATGCTTCAAGTTTGTCATTTAAAGAAAGTGTAAAGTGGGAGAAGACAAAAGAGTATCTATATCCGAAAAGATAAACGAGTCGAAAGAAACTAGATTTATATGAGAGATTATATACTCGACCTAGTTGACTAACATAGTAATGGTAAGGAAGACGTTAGTAAAATGGCGAATAGAATTCACCAACCTTAATCAAGCATGTCCCTAGGACCCTTACACGTTGTCGGGTATCGACGACTTAATTAATGGGGTCTTGGGTTTCTGGGTTTTGAGTTTTATGGAAGTCTACTTGGGATACAACCAAAATAAGGATGAACCCTAGTAACGTTCCAAAAACCATGTTCATTACCAATTGTAACAACAACTATTATGAAGTCATGCCATTTAGTTTGAAGAATGTCGAAGTGACCTATTTGAGATTGATGCATGTTGTTTTCTCTAAGCAGATATGTCGGAACCTAAAATTCTATATCAAATACACAGTAGTCAAAACTCTAGTGTGGGAAAGCACGTCGATGGCCTAAGAGAGACTTTCGAGTCTGTGAGAAGGCACAATATGCGCTTGAACCCTAACAAGGGCTTTTTTTAGGGTACATGCCGAAAATTTGTCTGATTCGAGTCAAGTGTAAAGTGTGATTGAAATCAAATGAGACAGAGGCTGGCCAGATAAGTCAGGCAATTGTCCCCATACTGCGCTCTTCCCCTCCTTAATCACAACCTCTGCGTCCTTGAGAGATTCCATCTTAGCCACATGCTTGGAAATGATAGGTACCTCAACCGATGTCTTCGCAACTGCTACCTCGGGAGAAACTTCCTCGAAATGTTGGAAAGGTGTTTCGATGAACTCGCCGTCTAACTCCACACATCGAAAGGAATTGAGATGACTAATCATGTACTCTTCCTCGCCATGCACAGTTATGATTTTACCCTTAACAGGATACTTCAGCATCTGGTGCAAAGAGGATGTAACTGCCCCGGTATAATGGATCCACAGTCTTCCCAGCAAACAAGAATATGACGGACGGATGTCCATTATGTAGAAGGTGGAGTTGAACACTTCGGTGCCTACCTTGATGGGAATATCAACCTCTCCATGAACCATTCTTTTGGAACCATCGAAAGCTCTGACGACGATGTTGCTAGGTTTGAGGGTCAAACCTTCACAATCCAAACGGTCTAAGGCCTTCTTTGGCAGCACATTCAGGGAAGAACCAGTATCAACCAAGACATGGGCGAGGGTGGTTCCTCGGCACTCAACTGAAACATGTAACGCATCATTGTGTTTCCTTCCTTTGGGAGTTAAGTCAGCATCGGAAAAGCCCAGGCCATTGTCAGCAGTAAGACTGGCCACACAATTTTGGAACTGGTCAACCGAGGTCTCTTGGGGGACATGTGCCGCCTTCAAGAATTTAATCAGAGCCTTAGCATGGGCCTCTGAACAGAGCAGGAGAGCTAACATTGAAATCTTAGAAGGGGTTTGCCCTAATTGTTCCACAACATCGTAGTCACTTTTTCTGATTATTTTTAGGATCTCATCCATCTCCTTCTGAGTGGTTTCGGGGATAACCACAGCATGAGCCTTCGTCCTGACAGGCATTTCCTGTATCCCCTTACCTTTGTCGGTGTTATCAGCGGATGGTCTTTCTCCAGGAGTGTTTAAATCTTAGATCAATGGGCCTTGCATAGAGGGTCCAACAGGTGCAAAAGCTTTTAAGGGTCTGAAGACTGCTCGGGGAGTAGCAATCTCCGGAGAAAAGATCCGGCCACTGCGGGTGATCTTGCTATTACCCACGATGTTTCCTATATCAGGGTCTTCTTCAGAGATTTCTTGGACTGTTTCGATTTGTTTGATGCCGTGGTAGAAGATTTCTCCCCCATAGTTCCACGGTATCATTTTGCTTGATTGGTACGGGACAGGTCCCGGCATGGTGATCTTTAGAGGTACACATTCAGAGTTGGGTGTAATCCTGACAGGCCTTTTGCAAGCCTTGGGAGGATTGTCGGAAATGGTTATGATGGCAATATCGTTGGTTGAGGTATCACAAGTATAAGGAGTAATCGGATTGGAAGTGTTAACAGGAGTTTTCTGGAAAAGTATTTCTTGAGTATCCATCAGGCGTTGGACACCCGACTTCAACATTGGACAATCACCTTGAATGTTCAAACAAAAATAGCATTCTTCATCACAACCAGGAAAGATCCCGGCTTTCAACAAATTTTCTTTAATCACAAACAATGGAGTCAACAGACCGGCAATATCAGTAACATGGAGATTTTCCAAAACAGCATGCACATTGTGGCCGTGCTTGGGCATCGGCGCAGATATAACATTCGGCTTTTCAGGAGCGTCAAATTCGAACTCTTTGGCGTCAATTAAATCCTGAATTTTGTTCTTGAGTTCCCAACAATTATTGGTATCGTGCCCAATACTGTCGGAATGGTAAGCACATTTGGCTTTTGAGTTGTAGGAAGGAGAGGTGGTATTTACATTCTTTGGCGCCTCTTTTAAATTAGAAAGGTTCAACTTCAGTAGATGTGGAAGGATCTGAGCAGGTGTCATATTTACTGGGGTAAACTGCCGTGGCGGCCTTTACTGATAAGTTCTGGGCTGATCATTCCTCGGTTGGCTGTTTCTAAGATGGTCTGATGCGGACTTCTGTATTAATACGGCCCCACTGTTGGCCGACGCTCCTCTCTTTCCCGATTTTTCTGGGTGTATACAACATATGCTTCTTTCTTGGCTGGGAATGGTTTTCTAGCAGCTGTGGATGCGGAAGCATCCTTTTGAATTTTTCCACTTTTGATACCGGCTTCCACCCTCTCGCCGGTCAAAATCAACTCAGTAAATCCTGCAGAAGAGCTTCCGATTAGATGGTTGAAGAAGGGGCCATACAGGGTTCCCAAAAACATGTCAACTAATTCCCTATCTGATAGGGGTGGCTGCACCCTTCCAGCCAGGTCGCGCCACTTCTGGGCGTACTCCTTAAACCCTTCATTTGAAGCCATCCCCATACTCTATAGCTGAGTACGGGTAGGCGCCAAATCAACATTGTACTTATACTGACGATAGAAAGCGGCTGCCAAGTCTTCCCAATTGTGGACCTCTGATCTCTCGAGCTGATAAAACCAATCTAACTGAGTGCCAGACAAGCTGTCTTGGAAAAAGTGCACCCAGAGGTCTTTGTCGGATGAATGTGGCTGGATCTTTCTAACGTACGACCTCAAGTGCATCTTAGGGAAAGACAGACCGTCGTACTTGGCGAATGTTGGCACCTTGAACTTAGGAGGGATAACAATCCCAGCTACAAGTCCCAGCTCCTCAAAATCCAATCTGGGCACCCTCTGCAATTCCATAGCTGCCAATCTGTCTTCAAGGTTCTTATACCTGTCATCCGCTAGTGGATACTGTTGTTCTGAATAGTCCTCGTCTGCTTCCTCTTCCTCCTCTTATGCCTCAGATTCAGAAGGTACAATAACTCCTTTCCCCTTGCCAATCCCTTCGTCGGACGTTGATGGAAACTCAAGAGTCCTTCTAGCATCACCCTCAAATCTTCTTTCAAAATTAGCTACCCCTAGTCTCTTTTTCTTTTTCTTCTCTTTACTTTTCTCTAGCAGAACTTTGAGATCCTCTTGACCCTTTGCCAAGGTCATGAGGAGTTGTTGAAATTGTGAATTTTGTGCCTGTAGGTCCTTCACTGTTTGCTCCAAATCCATCTTGCTGAAATAAACAGCAGAAAGATAAGGAAACCTGGCTTGAAGACCTGTTTGTGCATATGATGAATGATATGTTATTCATGTAATGCATTCAAGGGTTCAAAAATTCAAATTCGTTGTAAACAAAAAGAACGCACGTCATATTAAGAAGAAATTGTTAGTACATAAATGCCCCATGGGCGAAATATTACAAAATTCTTAATGTAAAAAGACGTTGCGCATCCTCTTTGGTGCGATGTAGGTGTTAAGAGTTTCCTCCTCGTGAAGTTGGCGGGTGAGTTCTAAAACCTTCTTCTCACTGGCATAGAAGCTGGCTTCAAAAGTATCCCGTTCTTCTTTGAGTTGGATCCAACTCTTTTGCATTTCTTCCCATGATGTTGGCATGTCAGGATGTAGGATGGTGTATGGAACCTCTCCTTCCTTAACAGGCTCTTTAATCAAGGGGAGAATGTGAGGATATGGCATCATAAGATTCTGAGAGCGGGTTCGTACCCATT